AAAAAAGGGCGGGGAAGTTGCCGGTCATTCGTGCTTGCTGTTGGCATTTATTCTAAGGGAGAGACATCAGCTTGGGGTTTTTTTTTGTTTTTTTGTTTTAAATTCATCTCTCCGCCTACCCTTCAAAATCCCCCTCGCCTCTGGTAGAAGCGAAAGCGAAAGACAGTCTCCAATGTGTCAGAATAAGCTGGGGTTAAATCTGATAGAAGCTCTGGGGTGTCCCTTTTCTTGCGCCTTTTTAAAAAAGCCGACCATTTTTTTTAATTTGAGGCCGTCAACAGCCTTAGGCGAGATGAACTCGGCCGCGGTTAGAAGAGGCCTCTTATTCCTCTCTTTCATATTTTTTTTTCTCTCTCTTTTTTTTAAGGGGTGGGGTTGCAAAGAGGCCGATTAGCCCAGGCGGAAAAATGTGTGTGCTGAAAAATGCCAGCCGAACGCCGCCGCCGCTGCCGCCTGCACTGCTGTGGACTTACAATATCCGAGCAAAAGACTTTGCAAAAGACCACCCCGCCAAGGGGGAAAGGCGCGCAGTTGGGCACCGTCTGCCTTCGGCGTCTCTTTAAACGGTGCTCGGATATTGTAAGTCCATAAAGAACTGGGGAAATATATTGACTCGAGTATAAGCCGAGGGGGGCATTTTTCAGCCCCAAAAATGGGCTGAAAAACTCGGCTTATACTCGAGTATATACGGTATATATACAGTTCATATATGTGATACACAAGACACTACAATGGATAAACTACTTGCTATAAAAACCTGAACGCTTCCACCTATCCTTAATATATTCTTATATCTGTGAACTACGAGTAATATAGAGACAGAAAGAATTACATTATTAGTAAATATTATCCAAAAAGACACAGTAAGTATTTCTGCTTCTTTCAGAAATACTTGTTTTTTCCATTCTCTTAGTAGCCATGGATTATAGATTTTATTTATTTATATACACATATCCTTCTATAACATATATTCAGGGCTTTTCAACCTTTTCACAGATTGTACCACTTTTAGGATATGACAATATTTGAGTACCACCAGTGCTTAGCAAGATGTCAAAAACTTGATGACTAAAAAAAGGGGGGGATTTTGGTTTTACTGATTAGATTCATTTGTTTTATAGAAATGGCTACTTTATAATATTATGAAAAGTAAAAAGTTGAGGTTCAATGTTAATGCTTCCTTCTACTGCAACAGAGGAAGTCTGCTTTTTTTCCCTTTTCCCCCTCACTTTTTTCCCTTTTTCCTCCCCACTGTATCCTACTATTTGCTTTTGTATTTTTGCAATTTATTCTATAATCTAATAAAATGTTACAAACTGTAGAAAAAAGTTAAAAAGTACCGGTTTTAATTTCTTTGCTAGCTGTTCCTTTGCCGAATCACTTTCCCTTTGCGCTGACAAATATATGATGAATTTATCTATGTTTATTAATATGCACCACTACCAGCTAGCTCAGTGGTCTTCAAACTTAGCACTTTTAAGACTTGTGGACTTCAACTCCCAGAATTCCTCAGCCATCATAGCTGGTTGCGGAATTCTGGGAGTTAAAGTCCACAGGTCTTAAAATTGCTAAGTTTGTAAACCCCTGAGCTAGATGGTCAGCCCTTCTTCCTCTCTCCCTTTCCTCTTCTTCCTCCCAGCCTTCTGAGGTCTCCTTCCACAGTGTAGTAAGAATGCACCCCCCCAGTCCCTTCCCTGCACCCTTAAAGATACAGGAATCAAGCGCAAAGCAAGAAAGGCTCACAAAAGCCTCCCAGAATAAAGAAACCCTAAACTCTGGGGGGGGGGGGGTTCTTTAAGCTGCCTCAGATGTGTCTCAGTTTTAAACAATGTAGCCACCTGAGCCTAAAAGGCTCGGCAATTACAAAAAGCGATAACCTTAAATAAAGCCTGTTTACCTACAAAGAAAACTTGCTAAAAGCCATAAACAGACTCAAGGTAAGGGGGTAAAACTAATTACATTTGTTTAAAGGAATTAAACTTACAGAAGCCAACACTTTGGATTCATTGCTAGCCTTTGTGAAACAGACTAAAATATTCCACTAACCAAAGCACACAAACGACCCTCTGAATTACAAAATGCTGTAAAAACTGTATTAAAATCTTTATGGTAATCCATTCAAGCTGCCAGCTGATCAGGAACCCACTGGCTTTCAAAATAAACCCACCTCCTTTCTGACATGCTCATCTCCTGGCTTTTCATTTCATCAGCGTTGATTGCATTCTCCTGGCTGGAGAAAACGAACCAGGGGACTTTTTCTTCCAGCAACAACTGCTGCTTCTTCCCTGTCCCTGTTTCCTCCCTGTCTGCTGAGCTCTCCTTCCAAAGCTTCTTCTCCGTCCCCTTCTCTGTCCCTGTTGTCTTTTTCCCCCCTTTCCCACCAAAACCACTGCCTTTTATATCCTCTCTTTTCCTCCCCCCCACTTTTTCCCCACAGTTCACCTCCAGCTCTGTGCTGCTTCCGGAAGTGCCAATCAGCTGGAGCCAATTAGCTGGAGCCCTGCCTGTGCTTCTGGGGCTTCTGCCAAGCCTCTCCCTCAGGCTTGGGTCGCTTCAGCTCATTCCCCTCCCCCACTACACTTCTTTAGGACAGTTGTGTACTATCTGCCATGTGCCAAAGTACCACAGGTGTACACGTACCACCGGTTGAAAAGCCCTGTTCTAATTGGTGGGCCATCCATCCAACTATCCATTTTGGGTTTCTTTTCTTTACAGACAAATGTGTCCTTGTCATGTAGTAGACTTGTTGATGTCATAATGTCATATAAAGTTGTAGAACTTTACTAATACAGTAGAGAAGAAGTGATAAAGGGAGTTGAAGTTGTCGAATCCTTGGGCGAGAGTGACCACGTCATACTAAAATTCAATATAATGCAAACACAGGCAATAGAAAATAATCCAACCAGTATCTTAAACCAGGGCTTTTAAACCTTTTCACAGATTGTACTTTTAGGATATGGCAATATTCAAGTACCACCTAGCAAGGTGTCAAAAACTTGATGACCAAAAAAAAAAAGGAAAAGTGATAAAGTACAGGTAGTCCTTGTCTTACATCAGTTTGCTTGGTGACTGTTCAAAATTGCATTGAAAAAAGTGACTTATGACCATTTTGCACACTTATGACTGCTGCAGCATTCTCAGGGTCATGTGATCACCTTTTGCAACTTTTGACAAGCGAAGTCAATAGCTAGGGGGCAATGGCCAGCTCAATGTCGCTCAGGTCAAGGGGTGCCTGTAGGGGATGCGGGTGGGGCTTGGGGGGAATCCATGGGTCTCCGGTGGAGGGAGGTGGGTGCCAGAGCATGGTCCACCAGAGGAGCCTTGCTGTCCTTCTTGGGCCACGTGGGGGATTCCTGGACAGTGGAGTGAGCTGTCTGGAGCTCTGGGTAGTGGAGGGCAAGTGCCCAGCTGAGCCCTCGAGCTCCCGAGGCACCAGGACCCTGCAACCCAACCCACTCCAGCCCCACTTCCCCAAGGGAGTGCCTGGCTGTGCTTACCTCCTCGTCAAGGCTGTTGCTGCTGATGTGCCCGCTTTCCTTGGCCAGATTGCTCATTGTGGGTGCAGGAGGTTAAAGTGCTTGGGTCAGAGGGAAGTGCACTCCCTCTCCATGTGAGGAGACTCGCTTTATAACCACCTTAGCGATAGGATGGGAGACAATCTGTTCTGGATCCGGTGTCAGTTTTCGACGAAATGCTGGTGATGTCGTCGTGGTTTGACTTCTGGATGGTGGTTGCATTTCGTCGAAAACTGACACCGGACCCAGAACAACACAGTACGCCACCACCATTCACCCTCACCAGACCCAAACCCAAGCCCAAACCCATCCCTCAGACGAAATGCAAACACCATCCAGAAGCCAAACCACGATGACATCACCAGCTGCTGTTCCTCCCTCCGACCCCCACACAAAGCAAACGGACACACGCCATGAACACAGAGCTAGACCGCAAACTTGGAGCCAAACCAAAGCCCGGTATGCTACATCACAGCCTTCTGCTCTGGACATCACATCACAGAACTCAGGAGGTTACAATGCTAAAGCTCAGGATGTTACAACACAGCCAACCACCCAGGATGTTGCAACACAAAACTCAGGATATCACTACACTAGATCTCAGGATGTAATCACACAACCCATTACCCAGGTCGTTATAACACGAAAGACTAATGGGCACACAGCCAGCACCTCAACTACTCAGGATGTTACGAAACAGCCAAACAATCCACAAACAATGGCTCCCACACAGCCAACCAATCCACCTACAGCAACTAAGCCAGCACTCCACACATCCCCACCAGTATTTATAGAGAGACGGCAGCTCCGATCACACTTTGCTCGCACAGGCACGAAGCCGAAGACCCCAGCCTGAAGATGATGAGTGGGACCTCGTCGAAACATCACCAAGATACTCTCAATCTTACACGGGAAAAGACCCAAATACGCCAAGACCTGCATATATACATACATACATACATACATACATACATACATGTCTCTGTGTGTGTGTGTGTGTGTGTGTATATATATATATATATATATATATATATGAGAGTTAATTATGCTAAAAATCCGACTCTTGGGAATCATAGTAAATGAATAAAACCGAGCACCAAGAGAAGTAAAGTATAAAAGTTTAAAAATTTACTGAGCCGAGCTTTCGTCAGAACCCGTCTGACATCATCAGGGTGTTAAAACAGCAGTCTGGGAGAAACCCTTATAAAGTGTGTGTGTCAATTGCTTGCATCCGGCTTCTGCTACGCGTCTGGGTCCGATGACGCATAGCAGAAGCCGGATGCAAGCAATTGACACACACACTTTATAAGGGTTTCTCCCAGACTGCTGTTTTAACNTATATATATATATATATATATATATATATATATATATATATATATATTTGTTTTCTGAGGTTTTCGCGGGTGTTTGTATGTAGGTCTTTGGTCATTCGGGTTCTCTCCCGCGTAAAATTGGAAGTATCCTGGTATGTATGTATATGTCTCTGTGTGTGTGTGTGTGTGTGTATATATATATATATATATATATATATGGCTAGAAATAGAGCTGTGTGTGTGTGTGTGTGTGTGTGTGTGTATATATATATATATATATATATATATATATGTATGTATGTATGTATATATATCACATGTATATAATTTCCATCATATATATATAGGTTGTGTGTGTGTGCGCGTGTGTATGTATGTATGTATGTAATTAACACAAACAAAATAAAAACACAAAAATTAAAAAAAGATTGTTCCATTATTACAGATACAGGAAGGTGATTAGCAACATTATCTGCTTTTCTCTCTCTTAATGCCAGTGTGGTTGAGCTATTCAATAACACAATGAAACTTCCAAAATGTTTATGCTAATATTTGTTTATTATTTGAACCTGTAACCATACCTGATTTTATTTTAGCCTTTAACCATGACTTTAGACATTCCTGATGGACAAATCGAAGACTTCCTCCACATCCACAAGGTTCTAGCAGAGGATTGGTTACAGATCCTCCTGCAATTTGGCATATCCGACATTGATCTCCCTCCTCTTCAGGGTCTTCTGCCAGGAGACTGGGAATACAAGAAATTTTTCAATGTTGCAAAATTTGAATCCAAAGAGCTGGAAGAATGGCATTTAAAAGTCCATGCCTACAATAGGTTTAAGAATTATCAAAATTATGGAGCAGTGGGAAGAAACATTTTTTTACTTTTGAATTTTCTCTCTTACATGTTGAATATACTCAATTTAATTACAATACAAAATAATGTCTCTCTTTTTTTCAGGCTTCAGTCAAATTAGCAGACAACTTTGTTTCCCAAAAACTGGAAAACTAAACGGTCAGATATACCAAACTTAATTCTTACTAAACCAAATGTACAGGTATTGAATAGGGGGTACCTGGCTCAATAGCAGTAACTGTGAGAGGGATCTCGGAGTTCTAGTGGACAATCACTTAAATATGAGCCAGCAGTGTGCTGCAGCTGCCAAAACAGCCAATTGCAGTCCTAGGATGCATCAAGAGAGGGATAATATAAAGGTCACATGAAGTGCTAGTATCGCTGTATATTGCACTGATAAGATCACACTTGGAATACTGGAATACTGGTTACCACAATACAAAAAAGAAGTTAAGATGCTAGAAAGAATGCAGAGAAGAGCAACAAAGATGATTAGGGAGTTGGAGACTAAAACATATGATGAACAGTTGCAGGAACTGGTAAGTCTAGACCAGGGGTCGGCAACCTTAAACACTCAAAGAGCCACTTGGACCTGTTTCCCAGAGAAAAGAAAACACTGGGAGGGAAACACTGGGAGGGAGGGAGAAAGGGAGAGAGGGAGAGAGGGAGGGAGGGAGGGAGAGAGAGAGAGAGAGAGAGAGAGAGAGAGAGAGAGAGAGAGAGAGAGAGAGAGAGAGAGAGAGAGAAGGGAAGCGCAACTGCCTCTCTCTCTCTCTCTCTCTCTCTCTCTCTCTCTTTACAAATGGCAGAAGAGCCACGGGTTGCCGACCCATGGTCTAGACTAATGAAGAGAAGGACTAGAGATGATATGATAGCAGTCTTTCAATATTTGAGAGGCAGTTAAAGAGAAGAGGGGGGTCAAATTATTTTCCAGAACACCTGTATTCTCCAAATACAGACTCCAAAAAATGTAACATATGAAACTTATCAAGGAGAGATCCAACCTATACTTAAGGAGAAACTTCCTGTCAGTGAGAACAATTAATCAGTGGAACGGGTTGCCTCCAGAGGTTGTGGGTGCTCCATCACTAGAGGTTTTCAAGAAGCGATTGGATAGCCATTTGTCTGGAATAGTATAGAGTCTCCTACTTGAGCAGAGAATTGGATTAGAAGGTCCCTTCCAACTTATTTAGCATTCTGTAAGTTTTGTTTAATTATATTTAGAAATTAACTTACCAATAAAATATAATATTTGTAGGTCAGGATTGAAATAAGGGGTCCACCAAGGATCTCTCAGAAAGTAACTTTATTTTTATTCTACTTATTTTTGGAAAGCTATAACATTGGAGCCCCTGAAGAATCTAAAGTCCTGCTAGAGAGCAGCAGAATTTTTTCTCCTTTATTTCTTCATCAGAGAAAGAGAATATTTCATGCCAAAGGCTGATAAAAATTTCTCCCCAACTATTTCAATTTGATACCTGAAAGAAGTTTCAACAGTTTTCAAATTATCCAACGTTGGGCAACATTCAGAGAAAGATATGAAGGTATGGGCATCATACAGGTTAATAGACATATTGTGCTGTTAATGGGAATTCCTTCAGGCAAGTTGCATACTAAATTCTTTCCAGAAAAAGTAGAACTCTTTAGAAAGAGATCCATGAAGCACAGTCTACTCTTTAATAAATCAGGCTATCCTTTTTAAAAATAAGATTTACATACCTAAATATATAAATTATTTTATAATGATTTTTTTCTTAATGAAATTAGGACAGAATAGAGCTCTGAAAATAAATGTTTCAGTTTTTGTTATTTGGAAAATATATGGAATTCTAATTTAGTTGTTTATTTTTTAATTAATTCATAAGATTATCTCCTGCTTTTTTTAAATGTAAAACTTCTTTGGTTTCCTTTTAGTTCTGCTTCTTGCCTACAAAAGAACCCTTAGATTTTGTGAAAATATCAGTCATTTGGATTTACTAGACATGCTAATTGCTAAACGTTTTGATTAAAGATTGCATGTTCATAACAAATTAAAAAAGTGAAAGATCCATGTGAGGGACAAGTAACCTTCTACCTTACACACATGAGTTTGAAGTGCATATTAGAGAGGCAAACTAAATTGCCTGAGGATCCTGTAAGGGTAGGAGACAGATAACAAAAAACAAGTTGTAGTGTGAAAGGAAAGAATATATGGGTACAATAGCAGATACTATTCATTTTTAAAGTTTTTACTCTATATTTTTATTAGATTTATATTGCTGCTATAAAGGTCATGTTATAATTTATATTGCTTTTTAAGTCCTACTCATTATTTTCAGAAAGTATATAATCTTGTGGGCTTTGGAGTCCAGTGAGAACAGTACCTGTGCATGCCAATCAAGAATGCTTTGTTGCGACTTCTGGTTCCGGTTTGCAGCGTCACTAGTCGTATGGGGAGACTCGTCTCCTCGTCGGCTAGCTTTCCCTTCGTTGGCAGACCCTTATACGGGTCCAAAGTCGCCCTGGAGGGTGCGACTTCCATCGAGGAGGCCCCTGTCTGGCTGCAGAGGAGCGGCGGCTCCTCCAGCTGTCCGGACAATCTCCGAGGGCCGGCGAAGAAGATCGGCCAGTAAAATGGCCGATCGCTCTGCCGCTTCAGACAACATCTAAGCTGTGAGTGCCCCCGTGGTGAACCCGGGTGAGAATCTGCTTGCAACTCTCTCTTTTCTACTTTTCTTTTTGCTACCTGTAAGAGCTTTTGGAATTATTTCCCTGGCTTGAAAAGGCAGCTTCTATCTTTTTTGGGAAGAAAGGTGTTTTATAAATACAGAAAAAGACTTTATTTTATTTTATTTGTATGTATATCTTTCTCTTTGGATACAAAAGGAAAGAAGATGGAAAAGGTTTTCTTTCCTCTCTTTCTTCAAGAACTGCATTAGTTTTTTTTCTTATATATTATACTTCAAAAGATAGAAACAAGGAATTGATTTCTGGAAAAGATTTTCTTCAACTCACTGAGGGCATCTAGTGGTGAAAATTTAATACTATGGCTTTGGCTATTTTTTTTTTTTTTAAAGGGACTCTGAACTTTAAAATACCTTTGAGGAAAAGATAAGCTGTGCAGCTGTGAAAGCTGTGGGGGTGGATATTCTCTGCATTAGATACAGCCTCCACAAAAAGGGAAGAGAATTTTTGTTAAGCATTATATTAAAATGGAGAAAACTTTGTCACAAGAGAACTGTGCACTCATACTGGAAAAGATTTATGAGGCCACAGCAGAAATACATGCTACAATTAAAAACTGTACCTTAGAATTGAGATCTAGAGATTTTACCATATCTGTTCAAATGGATCTTCAGGCTACATCTGACTATGATATAAACCAAAATATACCAAAAGAGGAACCTACAGTGACAGAAGAGGAACTTATTTTACCTGACAACCCTTTCTTCAGCAACTTAAAGAATCAGAAGAAGCAAAGACCAAAACCCCAAACTACAAAGCAACGACGCTGCAAGGAGAAGAGGAAAAGATGTCTATTGCAGAGAAGGGATTTCTACTCTCCCAAAGATTACTACAAGCCACAAAAATGGATTCACTGGTTGAAAGGGAAGCGTTCCTATGGATGCCAGTGTGGCATAGAAAAAAAACTAGAATTAGACTGAAAAAGAAACTTAAAACTGTTTAATGGATTAAAAGGCAATCTTTGTTTTATGGTTTGTTTCAAGGATAATGAATTAGAGTCAGAAGTAAGAAAAATAAAATTACAGACATGTGCGTTTAAATTAGTTAGATGATTTTTTTTGTTGTATGGAAATCTGCTTGGTACAGAAATATGAAAGTCAAAATTGGACTGAAAAAAGAAACTTGGTTTTATGGACTGTACTAAAGATAAAAAAATATATAATTATACATTTATATATATATGTGTGTGTTTAAAGAGACTAGAAATGTATTTTTTGAAATAATAGATTGATTTTGAGGGAAATTATATATTGGAATTGGAAAAAAAAGGTTGAGTTTTTTAGATAGGAATGTGGAAATGCTTAAATTACTTAGGTGATCTTTGTTTATAATATGATTTGATAAGGTATGAGAATTAATTGGATGGAATTGGAAGTTTTTGTAATGAATTGAAACATTAAGGTTTAATACTGTTTTTTCTTTTCTTTTTTTTTTTAACTAAGTTACTTATTATTGGAAGAAGAAGCAAACGAGATTGGTGATAAAAAGAGGGAGGAGAGAGATTACGAACTTGAACATATCTGGAAGAGATAGTTGAACTCATAATTGGTTGATATAAAACAATATTTGATTATGATAATTGTAAATGGATAAAGTTTTAAAACAGGTTTAGTAGTAATAGAAATTCAAACTAGAAATGGAATATATTAAATTTACTATGTTATTTGAGGGAAATAGAGAGATGATGGTGAATGTATTAAGTTGAGCTGTTTATATGTTTTCACTTTGGAATGTTTGTTCACCCAAGCACCATGGTGTGTTATAAGTACTTTTTATTAAAATTAGAAAACCAATAAAATATATTTTTTTAAAAAAAAGAATGCTTTGTTGCAACTTTCTCCCAATGCTTACTTAAGAGAGCACTTTTTCTACAACAGCCCATCTACTTCAGATCATTATACCATTATACTATTAACAGCTAGATGTTTTTAAAAACTTTGTTAATACTATCAAAAGGTAATAGCTTTCATTATTGCTTCCTAGAAATTGGTATTCACTGCAATCTCTCAACCAACCAACCAACTAACCAAAAAAACAGCTTAGTCAGCTAAATTTCATATCTTGTCCCCACTGCTGCTTTGCCATTCTGCTTGAAGAAGAGCTTCTGGAATTCAAATTCTTGCACACTACTTCATAATCTGTCATTGATAAATTATTAACAGTTAAAT